GGCGTGCGGCAGTCAATGGCAGCGGCCGCGACGGCTGGCGGACGATGGCTGGCAGGGGACTCCTATAATACCCGTGTTCGGGGCAGCATGGCTCACAAAATAGGACTGAACGACACGCAGTACGAGCCAGACATCCGCGGTGAAGTGGACTTCGGTTTTTTCGACAGTGATGACGAGTTAGAAAGGACGAAGGGCAGTGAAATGGTCAGTGGCTCGGCTCGCCTAAGCTCGGTTCTCGGGGCCTCCTCCCCCGGCGCCAGGTCGGGCCTGCTCTCCCGTTGCGCCGAGGACGCGTCTTCCCCTGCTGCCGGGCCGTCGGAAGGTCAGCGGCGGGCGCAGGAGGCGGCGAGGGACGAGGACAGGCGGCGGCGTGGCAGAGCGAGCCCCGGCGCAGGCCAGGCAGGTAGTGCGAGTTCCCCCGAGGCCGAGGCCATGGAGCGCGTAGACCCCGGCCCTTACAGCTCGGACGAGTGGGAGGAGAGTGCCGCGAGTGACACGGACGGCGACCACAGTGACAGCAGTGACGACGACGACCCCAAGTCCCAGGTGGACAGGCTGATCGAGCGCGGCGCCCTCATGTACATGGACGGCGAGAACTCCAACCTGTCCTCCGAGACGGACAGCAGTGACAGTGACAGCAGCTACGGCTGTGACAGTGATAGTGAGAGTGACATCACAGATGTGTCCCCCTTGATCTCCGCCACGGCGAGTCCCCTGGGCCTGTCCCCCGTCCTGCCCCGCCGCACGCTGGGCACGTCGCCCCTGGCACTGCACGACAACAGGGACCTGGCCCTCGAGTGCCGTGAGGACGACAGCCCCGGGCACGACCAGGGCTACGACTCCCAGCCGCACTGCAACGGCTACAGCAACAGCGACGACTCCACGGACATGACCCTGCTGCTGAAGGCGGTGGTGGAGCTGGAGAGGAAGCAGCAGCGCAACCGCCGCTCCAACGGCCACCACCAGTACCACGGCCGCCAGTGCCACAACCAGCAGTACCACCTCAACCAGCCCTCGTCGCCCGTCACCATCCACCCCATAGACGCCAGCCCCCACCACAGTCACCTCCGCGGCTCGCACCACAGGAGGAAGAACATGTCCTTCTCCAACGACGAAGTGCGGAGAATCGACCGCGAGAACCAGATCCTCCTGCACAAAATCATGTCTGCGCACAACCGCAGCAGACAGCATAACTCTTCCAACCAGAACAGCCGGTCCGTCCACAGACCCGCGAACTCTACTGTGACCAGGAGGAGAGAAGACGAGAAGATTCGCAGGGAAAACATGGTGAGTTCGATGTCATTGCGGTTTGCGTTGTCCTGATGTCACTGTTGCTATTGACGGTAGTTTGGCCATGAGTATAGGTTGAAGTACTGATTCTATATGTTTTTTGGGTGTCTTTGTGAAGCTGTTATTAGTAGGTACAAAGGGAGGGATTTTAAAGGCCGTTGATTGTACAGTAGATTCTGTGTAGTGGTCCTGAATGAATGAGAGAGAAGCAGAGAGAAAGAAGTAATGTTTGGTCTTTTATTTGTCATATTTGGTCTTTATTATCAAGGTGACATTATCAAAGAAAGAGAGAGAGGGAGTAAAAAAAAAAGATTATGGTTTGAAGTAGAAAGTAGGCTTTTCTTGAAAGTATTCCTTTGTAAATTGGGATATATGTATAACTGTGAGAAATATATGTATATGCATATGTATATTATATATATCTGTATGTTGTAAAGTTTATCTATGTAGAAATTAGGTTGATGTTGAAACAAGGACTTGTAGGTTATTTCTTCAAATGTTATGTGCTTTGTTCTCTTCATGCAAAATCTATGTTATTATGTCAAATGGCTTCTAGGTATCAGTATTTAGTAATTTTCTCTGTGAAATAATGATTTTTAGTGGATTTATGAGGAAACTGGGTTGAATTATTAACATTGTTAGAGTTCTTATTTGCATGAGTTTTTCAAGTATTAATTTGTAATTCAGTATGTTTAGAAATACATATTGTGCAATAGAGTGATAAGAAGAAGTGAATGAAATGTGTGTATATAGTAGAAAGACTGGGTTTACTGCTGTTCTAAGAGTTAGGCATGTTTGTTATTGTGCAGACAACCAATTTCCTTCATAAAGGCATCCCCTTTGTTGGTGCCTATTAGGATACTGTAGTAGCTTTTGGTTTGGTGTCGAAAGAGTGAATTTCATGGAAATTAAAGGGAAGTTTTGTGGCATTTTGAAAAAGGTGGAAAAACTCTAGGGGATTCCTCAGCAAAATTAGGCTGTCAGGTTGAAAATCTATTACTAAGGGTTTTTCTCCTTTTTCTCAAGACAGACTAAAGAAAATATGTAAAGTTCTTTATATATATGTGTGGATTTTAATATAGAAGATTGTAATTGTGTGATGTTGATGCAAATTTATAGATTTTCTTTGTCTTGAAGTTGAATTAAGTCATTTGTATGACCTTTTTGTAGTAGTCCTAAAATGCAGGGTATTGAAATTAGTATATATAGTAAAATTTGTTTGTATAGATCATCTAAATAGATAAAAATAACATAAAGTAAGATCTTAAGGTGCTCTGATGTTTTATGCACAGTTCAGTTAAAAAAAAAAAAAATGTATTGTTCTGTGGTGATGTTTTGGGAAATGGGAAAGCACTGTTACAAAGATATTAGTGTAAAGACCCATTATAACTGTGAATGGCTTAGATTAGATTTTTTTATTTTTAATTTTTTTTGTAATGAATGTGAATAATTGGGTTTGTGTGTTTATTTATTTATTTATTTAGATTGGTATAGTGTCTGAAAATACACAAAAACACACAAGTTCTCTCAAAGTTCATAAATGCTGGTGCATTTATAACACACACATTCAATAACTAATATTTCCCATGTTTATAAGGAATCCCAGGTGCTAATTTAAGTACATCTTTAAGCTAAGCTATTCTAACAGGGCATGTGGTAGGAAATGAACCCTGGGAGGCCATATCACAGTAGTACCATATTGAAATTACTTTTCTAGGTCAGATATTGGTTATGAATTTGTTAATATCAGCAGGAAGAAATATATATATGGATTAGAAAAAAAAAATGTAGCCTGTAATTATCATGCCCCACAAGCCATGTGATTACTTATTTAATGAATGCAAATTTCCCCTTGACAGATCTTGCTGCGAAAAATCCAGGAGGCCAAGCCTTCTCGGGATGTAACTGCATCTCGGCCACCCCGTCATAGGACAACGCATGGCCTCCGTCCACCCTCAAGCCTTCCTACCACTCCAGGATCCTGCGGAGCCTCGGCCCGCACAGCTCCAGGCCATGTGAACACACCAACTCCACGGAAAGAGACGGCTCTCTGAATTAGCCACCAAGTAATAACTTCAGGTAATTCATGGCATATGAAGCTTGTAATACTGCTGATTACAGTTTTCTTGTACTCAAGTTGCCAATAATAGTTGACAGGGAGGTTCTTCCATTAAGAGAACAATGACGTTCCTTTATGGAGTTAAATGTGCTGTCTATATTCCAATATGTCACATGAAGGTGTCCAGTTTGTAATGTTAATTTCTTTTGCTATCATGAAAATGGCCCAGTTTTATTTCCTTGCACTAAGGATCATTTAGGTGTACATTCTTGTAATGAAGTTTCAGCATTAAGACAAAGTTCATACTTGTGCAACTGTTGACCCCATTGTCCAGGTCACCACACATTATACTTATACAAATATGCATTGAAATGTACAGTTGCTTGGTGTTACGTAGAGGTTGCTCTCACTTTAGTGAGTGAATAAATGATTGGTAGAGCAAAATAACATATACGGATTCATAATGATATCAGTGTGGCAAGTACTGTGAAGGTTCTTTTGGTACAAGATCATTTTCTTCTTTCTCAGTGTTTTTTGCTCTTTCACTTTTATTTATTATTTACTTTTCCCTATGCAGAAATTCAATCGAATCTGTTGTAGATAAACTTTCCATCTTTCGATGCATCCAAACTCGTCATAAGCATTTGAGTGCATTTAGTTATATGCAAAGTTTGTTTTAAGGTGTGAAATCTGAAATTTCTGTTTAGGGTTGTTAGGTTTCATGATAAGAATGAACTTTGTATTAAATGTGTGACAGGAAGCTCAAATAGGTGGTCAGCCCATATTGTGATTATTTGGAGTGAAATGGAGTTTACAGCTGGAAATGTAAACACATTAGAATTATGGGGTTACTATCACTACCTCTCTAGCAAAAATATCAATGCTTTAATTCATAATCTAAAGACATAAATTTCCCACAAAGTGAATGCATGTTAAAGACCTCGTAAGAGTAATTGAAAACTTGATAGTTTACTGCAGCTATTATTACATTCCATTTTTTGATGCATCAGAGTTCCCCAGTGTACTGTAGCTATGGTCCTGTATCTGAATCATCAAGACATATTTGGTAGTCATTTTGATCAACGAAGAAAGACCATTGGATGTAGTATGTGGTGTAACGGTGTGAGTTGTACGTATGCAGCAGTCAAGGTTGATGGCTTCTGTTATGTGAGAACATTAACATTGATGTGTTCCAAATGTGTTGTTGTTGTTGTATATAGCATTTTAAGGGATGAGTTGAAGATGATTATCCTTATGGAGTAGATGTGAGCATAAAAAGGGATTCCAGCCAGGCAGTTTGGCAGCTTACAGCAGTGACTGCCTTTTCTCACAAGTATCAAAACATCTGCTTCACGATAAGCCTGTTCTCATGTTTGCTAGTTGGGAATAGGAGATGAATTTCATTCTCACAAAGAAATGTGGAGCTCCAGCTAGAGAATGGATTGCCAAAAAGGATGCACACTCATGCTCGCATTTATTTCATTTGAATTATCCTCTGCTCAACTCGACGTGTGGTAATTCTTGTGTTCAGTTACTATGGACTTCTCATGTATCTCGCTGCAGTTCATGCCTCAGTCTCAGATCTCCTAGGATTGGTGGAAGTGAACAGGGTTAGTTAGATATTAAACAATTTTGAGTCCATGGCATTAAGGCAGGAGACAGGAACAGTCATGCATGTGGAGGTGTGATAACGGAAGTTTAATTTCTATTAATATTATGCTTAGCACTTTAAGGGAAATGTCTTTAGTAATGGACTTGGTGCGCCAAGGGAGAGAGGTAGCAAAGCGAGAATATTCTCTTTGTAGTTTATTCTTGCATTACTAGCTACCAACTCTCTAAAGCAAGTAATTGTCTTTATAGGCAATTGATCTATTACTGATGCACATCAATATCAATATTTATCTGGCTTAAATATTACCTTTCAACAGGTAATCTCATAATTTGAACAGTTTAATTTGCTAAAGAGTAACCTTCTTCTAAGGTAACAAATGTATTTATTTATAACCTCTGGAACATTATTTTTTTCTTTTTTCCGAGAGCGAGAAAGAAACCTACGAGTTGAAAATAATTGGTTATGGTAGGTTTTGGCACAAACTTGAAACAGCACCTTCCCCTCCAGGTTGAGCTTATAGGCACAAAGAAGAAGCAGAAAACCAGTAATGTTGTGTAATATGGCATCAATACTTAATGTCAGTAGTAAATGCCACTGCAGTATCAACTAGTGACGGGTATTTGATTATTTTCTTTTATTTTGTGTGGCCGCCATTGTAATGAGAGGATAAGAAACTGTATTGTGTGTCACTAACAGTCTTTAATCATACAAGGAGGATGAAATCAACAATTTATCATGTGAATAAATAGATATAATAATATATACTGCCTTATGAATGTGACAGGGATGAGGCTCCATTGTTAACCTCAGCTGGTCCTTCCATAAGGTAAGTTTTACCCCCATCAAGGGTAGAACGCCTGCTTCAATACCACCCTGGGTGCATAATGCCTCATCTCGTCTCATAAATTTCATCCTTATTAATCTAGTCAGATGATCTTATTCAGTGAGTTTTAACATCTTCAGTTTAAAAATTCTTGAACAGCACTTCATCTACACAAACACATGTTAGTACATTGATTTAAAATTTTATATATATATATATATATATATATATATATATATATATATATATATATATATATATATATATTTATATATATAAAATAAAGATATGTATGTAAAAAAAAAATCCCTTAAAAAAAAATGAAAGGGTGTTCATAATTTGAATTTTTCTCTACATTTTGGTAAACGATGAAAAATAGAGAATGAAGTGCCGGAAGAATTTAGATCTGAATATGTCTGTTATGCTTCCAAGTGTCAATAAAGTTATGTATTGATCTCTTTATTGTGTGCAGCAGCTCATAAATTTCAGAAAATGAAAAGAAATGAAAAGAAAAAAAATATATAAGAAAAAAAAAAATTATAAGATTTGCAGTTTGTGCACACTTTTAGTGAAAAAAAAAAGCTTATGTGTTATTGTGAAGGTGATGTGCCATATTGAAAATAGAAATGGCACAGAAGTGTATAGGGACCATTTTGAAAACGGTTGATCAGTTTTGTATATTCCACTAGCATCGCATTGTTATCAGGCTTTGTAAGATAACTCGGCATTTTTTTTGTTTTTCATATTTTTGTTTTTATTGGTTATTTTACCATTCATTTTTATAGCAGGTTTCATATAAAAATGCAAATGACTTAAAGAGCAATAAAAGTATCCCAGATAAAATTACTTGGTGTAAGAGCAAGTAATTTCCTCATAGGTTGTAAAAAAATTTATACTTTAAATTGTTTGTTTAAGGTCAACATGAAAGCCATTTTAATTCTGATTTATGTAAATATATGTAACTTGGTATAACCTATATATTTATCTGTATTAATTTTCTAAATGTAAAATAACTGTATGGATTTTTAAGAAATTATTTTTTTTATTACATTTTTTTTTTTTTTTTTCTCTCCCTCTTCATCCTGCCTTTCTTCATATTAAATGCTGCCCCTTGGATAATTGTTGTACAAGGCAGAAACCAGAAGACCATCCTGGATGTTGTGAGCTGCTTATTGTTGAGTTGTGATTTATGTAAAGGAGATGTTGTGTGGAATATGAAATGACCATTTTAAAACTGGAGACAATTTTCACGGCCGTTAAGATTACTTGTAAATATTTTTTATACTTGTCTTTCATTGTCTGTGAAAACTTTTGAACAATAAAAACTACTGTTGAAAATTAATCTCTTATTTCATTCACAATTTTTATTATACAAAGATAAATATTTACATTCATGTATACACATATGGATATAAATATATATGTACAATTCACTGCAAATAGCAATAACATTCCCTGAATAACAATTACATGATAACACATGATTCTACCTAGAGTCCTCTATACATTTTCAATATGTAATTAAAAAAGTTTCATCTGCAGTTAACTTGATCACATATACAAATATAACTATATTCTTAAACTGGGATACCAAAAAAAAAAAGAAAAAAAAAAAAAAACACTTCACTCTTCAGCCCTAATTACCAGACTAGACCACTTCACAAGATTCGACAAATATATCTGCAAATCTGCAACAATGATGGGGAATCAACAGGCCACACAGCAACAAGGAGAGCACTGAACTCAAACCTGAATCCGGACTTTAACCTAGGAAATGCAAACGTGTCTGAGATACGAATCTGAGCCAAAGCTTTCAGTCTTGCGTTAGACTGGGAATGTCTCTATTTCCAGGTCTTATGACTTGACTGTCGCTGACTCCTCATCCTTTGCTTTCTTAAACTTGTCCGTTCCTGAAAAATGAAAAGAGAACTTAGTTGCCTCAAATGCTAATGAAAAGATATTAATATATGTTATTATTTTCAAAAGGGGGGGGAGGAGGATGTCAGTGTCCACTAGTTTTGATATGGTTTACAGAGATATGGCTTTACAAGTCAATCACAGGTCTTGTGGTCTCACTTATTTACCCCCATTCTATAAAGAAAATAATAATATTTTTTTTACATCATTGTAATTACTACAATATTATTAACCCATTTGCCCCGGATTTATGTTCTGTCCTCTGTAGTTTTTGGTGAATTTTGTTACAAACAGATGGCTCCACATGTGCTCAGCAGGCAAGTAGTCTATCAGTAGGCCCTAGTTACAGATCCTGATTTTCCCATTCATTGAATTGGCGGGAAAATTAATATCATTGCTATCGATAATGTTGTTATTGTTATTGATGTTATGATTATTAAATTGTCATTAAAATATTTTAGACAATGAAATGATACAAAAAACCCTTTCCTAAAGTGAAGGAAAAGGTTAAACAGGTGAGATAGGTAGTTCTGATAAACTGGCTATTTGGTAATTAAGAACTTGTAGAGCCATCTATGTGTAAATACAATAAATAAACGTGTATTACAGTAGGCATGGCATGTATTCTTGCCACATGGGGCAAATGGGTTAATAATAATAATAATAATAATAATAATAATAATAATAATAATAATAATAATTTTTAAAAATATTTCAAAAAAGGGTAAACAAGATCCAATAATTGACTTGGTGACAAAGTATTTCTGAACCTACCTATGGTCTAAATAAAATCCACTCCCTAGCTTCAAAAGAGTAACCAATTGTAAAATTAAAAAGAAAAGTGGTATTTTCAAGCTCTGATCCTTGACGAACTCCACTTACTAAATTTCAGCAACGCTACTTTGATAATACACAAAGAGTATGACACACTTACCGCTAGCTCCTTCGGCCACTGACCAGGATGATGTGCCAGCATGATCCTGCAAAGTCACTGGGTGTAAGTATCAAGGGTGTGTCATGTACTGCCTGCTAATAGGCATGTAGAGTAGACAGTAGGAATTTGGTTTACAACTCCATATCAATATTTGGAACACAACAGGTATTTAGAGATTTTTTTTTTTTCCATTGCAGAATATCAGAAAAGAACACCCCCCCCCCATAAAATACACACACATACATACACACAAAATGCACACACACACATGCACACATACCTACAAAACACACACAGAAAATGCACACACACGCACACACACACACACACACACACACACACACACACACACACACACACACACACACACACACACACACACACACATACACACACAAACAAAACACACACACACACACAAGCAAAACACACACACACACACACACACACACACACACACACACACACACACACACACACACACACACACACACACACACACACACACACACACAAACAAAACACACACACAAACAAAACACACACACAAACAAAACACACACACAAACAAAACACACACACACACACACACACACACACACACACACACACACACACACACACACACACACACACACACACACACACAAACACACACAAACAAAACATGCACACAAACAAAACACACACACACGAAAACAAAACACACACACACACAAAAACAAAACACACACACACAAAAACAAAACACACATTAAGAGAGAGAGAGAGAGAGAGAGAGAGAGAGAGAGAGAGAGAGAGAGAGAGAGAGAGAGAGAGAGAGAGAGAGAGAGAGAGAGAGAGAGAGAGATATTAAGAACATTGTAACTTTCATTTTACGTTGTTCCTCATAACAAGCGTGCGTGTGCACAAGTAGATTAGCTAAAAAAGCACTCTACCTAATAATTGTTATTTGCACATCATTCTCTTCCCACAGCAGTTAAATTCAGATACATAGTCGCTTTCAATATAATGACAATGATGATCAGGATAGTTTTAAAAAATGTTAAATAAATATATACTATACTAACTTACCTTGATATGCAATCCAATTTTCTGCAAATTACTACGGAACTCATCACAGTAATTAAGGAGAGGTGCTCGCTCTTGCCTTCGTAATTTCTTTTCTGCTGATGTTAACATTTCCTAAAAAAAAAAAAAAATGAAAATGAAAATGACCATCACTAAAAATTTTGCTCAATCAAGAGACTATATTATTCTAAGTATTATGATATCACAGACATTTAATTGGTTCTTAAATGATAATATACACTTTGGAAATTTTATGGGTGGTGGTGGGGATGGTGGTGATGGAGGGGATGGTGGTGGAGGTGGAGGTGGAGGTGGAGGTGGAGGTGGTGGAGGAGGTGGAGGAGGTGGTGGAGGTGGAGGAGGTGGTGGAGGTGGAGGTGGTGGTGGAGGTGGAGGAGGTGGTGGGGGTGGTGGAGGTGATGGTGGTGGAGGTGATGAAGGTGGTGGTGGTCTCAAATTTGCCCAAATGCATAAATATATCTCCTGCTAGCTAATGGTGGACAGTCCCCTTAGCAAGTACATGTACATATTAATTTATTTTTTTCCCCAAAAGTCTGCTGAAAAAGTGTAATAGGTAGTTGAGATAGTATTACAGGCAGGGCCAGATTACGACCTTTTGGGGCCCCTAGGCTCATGAAATTATGGGGCCCCCTCAGAATATTTTTTACTTGTGATATATTTTAGCAACATTTACATAGCTTGAAGTAAACTTATTGCAAATTCTTCAAATAAACTAGCATAGCTATCTTTTGTTTGTCAATAAAAATATTCTTTAAATACCACTATTTTACTATATTTCAACACAACCGTAGTGAACAAAAAACAGGATAATCCGACCCTGATTACAGGGCTCAGTAACTTATTCCTTGCACCTATTTTATCTACAAAGTTCATCTGATCTGGGTGACATGAACATCATGTGATAAAAAAAAATCTGGCTGAATGAAGGGTGACAGGAATATGCTGTCCTGGAAAAAGTTGGCTGAGGACCAGATTAACATAAATGTGCCATCGTGAAAAATTCAGCTGAAGGCCAGGGTGATGGAAGATTAGACTCGGTGGACATTTGGAATGTACCATAGTTATGCCATGGCTAGAAGAGTACCAGTCTCAGGGAAGACACTATTTTCCTGCTCAGGATCCTTAGGAAGAATAAGCCTAATGGCTGAATTTTGAGCTACATGCAAGCAGTCTAGCCATTTATACTAACCCAACCACCACAGATTTATGTTCCATCTCCTGTAGTTTTTTGTGAATTTTGTTACAGATGGCTCCATATGTGCTCAGCTGGCAAGGAGTCTATCAGTAGGCCCTAGTGACCAATTCTGATTTCCCCATTCCTTGAATTGGCGGGAGAATGTGCTTTTTAATACAAGTGATATCAATACTATTATTATTGTTATTGATATTATGCTTATTAAATAGTTATCAAAATCTTGGTAACATTTATGACAATGAAATAATACAAAAGACCCTTTCCAAAAGTCAAGGAAAAGTGTACACAGGTGATAGGTAGGATTAATAACTGACTCTTGGTGGCTAAGTGCTTGTACAGCCATCTATGTGTAAATACAATAAAGAAACTTGTATTACAGTAGGCATGGCATGTATTCTTGCCATCCATGCCCAGATCCAGTGGGTTAACACATAGCTAGAAAAATATGTATACACACTTTAATATTCTGTAATGTCCTCTTCATATAGCTATAGAAAATGCTTTTTAAAAATAAAGGAAAAAAAATTCTCATGCACAAAAAATACAAATACAAATCTGGTCTACAGTCTCTCTTATTGTCATAGTGCTCTTATCCATATATAAATATATACAAAACTCGCCTCCATGGCAGGACATGTAATATTGTGAGGCAAAGGTGAGTTAATGAATGTTGTTTTGTGTTTTGCTCATACTTTTGAATCATGACATGGAAAGTAATGTTATTTAGAAGAATGTGGCTCACATACTCCAGTGTGGATAAATGGCCACATTGGAATATGTCAGCCACATTCATGCCTGATGTCCTTAAAGGGCATCAGTCATTTGCTCATATTCAGAGACACTTGGGACACTTTAAACGGAGAGCTGGAGTAGCATCTCATGCTCATCAGCCATTCACCTCAAGCTGTCTCGTGCTGCACCCAATGGTGATTGGCTGACAGCCTCGAGATGCCACTCCAGCTCTTCATTTAAGGTGTCTCAAGTGTCTCTGAATATAAGCAAATTACCAAGCTCTGACATGATCTCTCTCATGCATTGCTAGATGAGAGCAATTGCATAGAACTTTTAATTTCTGTAACATACCATGATATACCAAAATATGCCTACCTTCACATTACTTTCCAGACACTATTATGGAGATATGTCTATAATTTGGACTATTTACTGTCATACTGACAAAATGAGAATCATCCCATAAATCCTATGCAATATATAACACTGATCAAAGTACAGACTTCCCCCGGCCAATCAAGGAGAGTACGTACTTTTTACCATCTTCACTTAACAAGTTGCTGCTTCTCTACTGAGTCATAATGAAAGCAATGTAATACTACACTATTCCAGAGGACAATTACATTTCTTGTTTCTCAGATTTGGATAAGTAATTTCAGAATCAGTCTATAGGTCTCAAAACAGACCTATAGTTCGCAAAAATTCATTATGCACTGTGTGTACATATATATCATCATAACAGCCATACCCTAACCATCAGCCTATTGCACAGATGGCAGCATCTCCAAGGTAAAACCCTCATTATCTCATCAACATCCACCCATGGTTTCTAAACCATATTTCTCGACTAACCTTTGTTGAGTTCTCATCCTGGAGGAGGGCATAGCTTCGTACTTGATGTCTCAGTGAGACAACAGAATTCATTACACTTGCTAACCGTCCTCCTGACTCGAGAGAAAGACTGGCAGCATCATGCTGAAAAAAGTAAATAAATCATTAAAGGCATTGAAAATTCTTATTTGATTCTTTTAAAAAGGTGCATTATATAAGTAATGGAGAATTTCCAAAACAAAAGAATATTCCTGGGTTTTCTCAAATAGTTGGACATACACTCCTTTTTTACCTTAATTAAGTTTGCTATACATGTATAAAAAGAGTGATACCACAGACATTCTAATAAACCCATTTCTGATCTGTAACTCTCTTAACTTACCACACTAGGGAAGGTAATGCTAAAGACATCCTCCATTAGGTAATGAATGTAGCTGCAGATGGAGACCATGGTTCCTGCACTCCTGGCTATGCTCATACTCTGTAAAATTCAATGAAATATTAAATATTAAGTATTAAGTATCCTCACTCTTAGAAATGTGCCTCCTAGGTTAAAAGGATTTTTCACTAAAGGCCTGTGTCATGTTGTGATAAGCCCTTCTAAAAAGTAAACATTTTTTTGTCAAATAAATGGCAAAGATCATATATACAGATTTATAATGGAAAAACAGGAAAAGAAGAGAGTGACAATGGCTGATTGAAAGACAGAGATGGAAAGGCACAATCCTAATCACTCATATATTCATACAGAAAGAAACAAAAACACACACAGATACATACACACATATATTCTCTTTGAATATCTGCTCTTATCTTCATACCTCAGTGACTGATCTGGTGCTCAATTTTTCTTTTTCCACACGCAGAAATGGACGACCAATGACCTCTTTAACCCATTTGCAACAGGGAAAATGAACAAAAAATGGGGATAATGCTGTCCTCATTTATTATATTTTTTGTGAAATGTCTCTACACATAGATGGTTCTGCCTGATTTCACCTTTCCTTGAATTGGTGGGAAAATGTATTTTTTACTAGTGCTATGAATATCGATGGTATCATTTTTATAATAAACATTACAATAACTATAATGTTATAAACAATAGTAATAGCAAAATAAGATTATGTAAAATATCTTCATAAATTAAAGAAAAGGGTAAACAGGCGAGACAGGCAGTACTCGTAACTGGCTCATTGGTGTTTTAGTACAAGTGTAGCCATCTATGTGTAAAAACAATAAAAATAAGTAAACTCACAGTGGGCATGTCACGTATAAGTGACAGCCCGTTGCAAATGGGTTAACAACAGTCACTTGTAAGAACTCCACTTACCTGGGGCTTTGTTTGCAGTTCCTTATTTCCCAGAGCTATGAGCTCTAGCACAGCATCAAAGGCTCTCACTGTGTCCATGTCATCAGCTAAAGACTTCTTGACTTTTGATCTCGTTTCTGCTAATTTCTGTAACAAAAGTGTGTTTGTGATATATATCGTTTAAAATTTCACAAGATATAAATAAAAAATTCTTAGTAGTCTATATACCTTCATGAAAATACAATGACAATCCATGCTACATTTTGTTTTTTTTCTCCCTCTCATTAGTGAGAGAAGTATCACCAAAGAAAAAAATATCAGATTTTTTTCTTATTGCAAAACAGGTTAAAGAGTGATAACACAAAGACAAAGTTCAAGCTAACTGACTAATCTAAAAACAAAACTAAAGTCTGAGATCTCCTGTAGGTAAAAATATAAAGGTAAAGAGCTACAGTCAAAAACAAGAAAAAAAAGTCTCCTCTAAGGCACAATCTGCAGAGAGGAGGAGGGGGTTGCACAAAGGCTTTAACATTTGAATTCCCTAAAGATTTTGTTTGGGTTTTCCTCTTATTTCTTTATTCTGTATTGTCATTTTTCACTCTAATCCAGTATAGTATAGAGAGGTAAGATGGATATATTGTAAATCATATTAAAAGGCTAATGTTAAAATAATATGCTATAGAATCCATGAATGAAAATCTTGGAACAGATATAAGAGATACCAGCCCCACTGAAACTGACTTTAATGCAATTTCAACCATGGGAGCCCCTGGCTATCTAGAAAGTTCCCTAAATGCCACAAACAAGAGTTACTTAATAAATGACTTCTGTTTAATAATATTTCAACCATTTCAAATGCCTGTTCAACTGCAATTGCAAATTGTAGCTTTCTAAGTTAGATTTCAAGTTAGATTAGTCTCATCATCTGACAACAAAACCGAAAAGTCACTGTCCTATCACTTATCATGGCTGTGTTTCATTTGATTTTTGTACATGTGTTCATAGTGCAACAATTATAATAAATCTCCAAACTATTTGACATTAATACCTCATGCTTAGATCAATAATGGTAAAGCATTTGCTTATATTCAATATTTTACTGCCTGGCAACTCTCTTCCATATATTCACACCAATGGAAATATTCCTTTGATAACACTGAAGCCTTGTAAATTTAGCTGACAAATTCATCCTGATAACTAAAATGG